ATGCCACGATGCGCAGGACTAGCTCACAAATATGAATTGCCTCTTTCCTGTCCTGGATGCAATAGCAAGGAAATATTTTGCAGCACCTCATGCTGCGTGCAGAATTTTCTACTGAAAGTCACCATTCAAAAATCAAGAAAAGGCAGCACTTGAAAGCTCCCCCTCCTTCTTCTTCTCCTTCTTGCATAAAACAAAAGTCCAGTGCAGGATCCTATCAGACCGCTGCATGCTGCATTACTGAACACGCTACGCAGGATTATGCAATCAGCTATTTAGAGTGTGTGTGTGTATGTGTGCGCATGTAACTTCAGATGTACTGTAACCTTAATGGAGTGAAACATAATGATCAAAAAAAAAGAAAAAAGAAAGAAATCATAACTGAAACTTCTCCAAATAAGAAGCAAAATAGCGCTTTTTTTTTTTCTTCCCCTCGACGGTGGGGAAGTACTCTTTTAATCCTGCAAGGAGGAGATCAAAACTGAAAATTGAAAAAAAAAAAAGAAAAGAGACCGGAGGGGCCGACACCCAGAGCCCCCAGGAGCTTCCCTGACCTTGGTCTGTCAATCACCGGCACCAACCAGGCTGCTAGAGCCGGGCAGACACCGCGCAAGCCCCAAAGGGGAAAAAAAGAATAAAAAGGAAAAAGAAAAAAAGAAAGAAAAATTAAACCCTAAAGCAGCTGGGAACAGTTATCTCGCAAGCCCTGGCTCATCCTCGTAACACATCTCGCTTGCCCACCCCAGCCCGGAGCACTCATCTGCCGGCCGGCAGCAGCGCTCAGCATCTCCGGGAAGTCTTAGAGCGGTGGTTCCACCTTTAGTTGGAAAAGTCTTTTTAGTCTTAAGATTTCTCTGGTTTTGAATTAAAGGCAAGCGGTTTTATACACTCTCCTGGAGGAGAGGAGGGAAGGGAATATTGAAAAGAGTCTATTAAACGCCTGGCAGAGATAGTCTGTAAGTATTGTGGCAGTAAATGAAGGGCGGGGGTGCCAATCGTGTTTCCTGCCCGAGTGTCTCGTTTAATTCT